TGTAATGATAATTGTGTTAGATTTTTAAGTTACTAAACATAGAGTATAAAAAAGGGTGCGCGTAAGAAGTTATACTTTATTTTTATAATTTCTTTTTTGTTTAAATTTTAATTAATTTGAAAAAAAATCGATTAAACCACATCCTCAAACACGCATATTGGACATCCCTTTTCTTGACATCGTATAAATTCGGTAATTCTCGGTACGGTTCGGAAAGTTCACCTGCGGCTATATTCAGACTCGCCAAGTTACGTCGGTCGTATTGTAATGAGCGATTTAGTGGGCAAATTTCTGTTAATTGTGTGTCACGGTGCGCGCGCATCGTAAAATTTCACTCTCATCAATTTTTCATAACGCGTCTAAAGAAGTATAACTTCAAAAACTGAAATAAAGTATAAATAAATAAATAAATTAACCCCTTCATCCACTCATGTCTTCAGTTATTATCTCGTTTACAATCGCATTGTAATTGGTAGTTGGGTTTGCAGGGCAGGTCGTGCGCGGCATCGACTCCGCTGCTTCTGTTTATTGAGTTTCTTCATAAAGCGTTGTTTTGAAAACGATTGTTATAACGAGATCGATTCAAAACGGCAGCGGAAATTTGCGAAAAATCTATATATATATATATATATATATATATATATATATATATATAAATGAATTGCTGTTCGTTAGTCTCGCTAAAACTCGAGAACGGCTGGACCGATTTAGCTAATTTTGGTCTTGAATTATTTGTGTAAGTCCAGAGAAGGTTTAAAAGGTAGATAAATATGAAAATGCCCGGAATTAAATAAAAATAACAATTTTGTTTTTTTTTTTTCGATGTGTCCCCCGTCGGACGGATTCCTTTTGTTTGTTTTAAGTTTATTTTATGCAAAAGTCTTTTGTTTGTCGATTGAGGCACTACGAAGTCTGCCGGGTCAGCTAGTATAAAATAATTTACAAACTACTTATGAAACGATGGAGTAATCATTATCGTGTATAATTTTACAAATACTTTGTAAATAAATAAATAGCTGTGTAGTCCTTCGATGCTACATGACTTGTATGAGATTTCGAAAGCAATAATTTTACGGCGTGTTGTAAGTAATTATAAGTTTCAATAAACATGTTATTCGCACAATTTAATTATTATTATTTTTCCCTGTTGATATGTAGATATCATTTAGTGGTAGTTAATTCGTGTACAGGGGCTAGGTACTGGCGGTTAGGGGGATGTACTTGTTAGTGAATAAACAATAATTATGTATTATACATTCGTTTTATTGTATAGCCTTATTAGTTGTAAGCACAAACCTAGACCGGCTGGGCACGTCAGGTCGAATCTTCGACAAGCACCAGATAACAATCTAAAGGTACCTAATTAATTACTTAGGGTGGATTCGACCAAACTTAAATTTATACACGAGTAACTATACGAGGAATAACCTATTCCATGATTTTAATCTCGAGTAAATCCATAGGCGTTTTTCCACGTAAACGACAGTATACTTGCGCTAGGAATAACAATACGCGAATAGCAGAGCGAATATAAAATCAGGCAATTTTTTTTTTATTGCCTAGATGGATGGACGAGCTTACAGCCCACCTGGTTTTAAGTGGTTACTGGAGCCCATAGACATCTACAGCGTAAATGCGCCACCCACCTTGAGATATAAGTTCTAAGATCTCAGTATAGTTACAACGGCTGCCCCACCCTTCAGACCGAAACGCATTACTGCTTCACGGCAGAAATAGGCAGGGCGGTGGTACCTACCCGTGCGGACTCACAAGAGGTCCTACCACCAGTAAAAACCTTTTGAACCAGACGTCAAATTGATATGAAATTATATAAATATATAACAGAGAATGTGTGTGCGTGTATGTTCACCTAAAATTATCTTGTGTAGTTAGCTTACTGAATCGTTGGCTTCTATGTTTTAATATAAAATTGCATGTGGTTACGAGTGCAGCTATTTGGAATTAAAATTGAATAATCTTAACATTTTCAAATTAAATACTAATCTATACCTCTGATGTACTCTATGTCAAATCCTATTCTCCTCTCCAATAAACAAAAAAATTATCGATGCTGATTTTATTCATATTACGTCATACGTCTTAAACTGCGTTTTTACGATAGTCGATATTTATCTAAATAAAAAATTATATGAGAAAAGATTTGTAAACTAAATATTTTCCCTCTACTTATTCGCTGGTAGCCTAAAGGGTTAGCTTCTCGCGAACGGATAGGTGAGCTCACGGGCTCAACCTGAAAGCCTCTGCTAACACTGGCCCGGACAAGAGCAGTGCTTTGGGGCCATCCATAAAGTACGTCACACGAATTTTAGGACTTTTGAACCCCTCCCCCCCTCCTTGTCACAGGTTGTCACATTTTTATAACCCCCCCTCCTGATGTGACGTCACACATTTTTTAAATTTATGTATGTATTTAAAAATAATCGAGAGAAAACAGCTATTTTCATTTTTTACTTATTTTTATTAAATAATAATCTAATAAAATCAACATAAAGTCCAACATTTCATAAAACCGAAAAAACAAACGACTAGTTAGAAAATAATAAACGATTAATTATATTAATTAAAGATAAAAAACTTAATTATCGAGTGTCCATGGACTTTGGATCCACTCTTTTATATCAGCTATTACTGGTAAATCAGGCACTTCATTTTCGTTCTGAATTTGAACGCGAGCGAGCACTCGCCGACGACTTAAACCTATTTAAATCCTTACCATTCAAAATTCTCGTGAATTTGAGTGTCTCACTTGCATTACAACGCCGCTCTAGAAGTTAAATGACGTTGCATGAGAGATTATCGCATAGCGAGAATGCTAAATTATTAATAAATATAGATCAAGTTTGTAAATTTTTAAAATTTTTAATTCACATACAATCTTTGAGTTTTAGTATTTTAAATTTTAACATGTGACGTCACAAAAGTATTGACCCCCCATGCCCCTTGTCACACGATGTCACACTTCGGTGATACCCTCCCTCCCCATTAACGTGTGACGTACTTTAAGGATGGCCCCTTTGCATAATTTACCAACGGATCGGAATCGCGACCTACTGAGAAGATCCGGGAGAAACTCAGTGAGCTGTTTGTTCACTGCAACTATTTAATTTAATTGATCAAGGGTCAATTTATACTAGGGCAGAGTCGAAGCACATCGAAGCGTCTATCCAAAACTGAACATAACAAATTCAACCTTAACTCCACACAGTAACGCACACGTTACTTCTGAGATTAAGACGCGCGCATTCTTCGGAATTCGCGCGTCTGCGCGTGAACAAGTCTGATTTGTGCGCGCGCATTCTCGCGTATCTATGCGCCCACTAGCGAACCTATGCGTAATCAGTCGGAAATTGAAAATTAAAATCGAAAAAACTCGGGTATTGATATAAATCAACGCAAAAAGTAGTAAATTCACCACAAATACGTCTTTTCTTCCACAAGTTGCGAACACTATAATTTCGCTTTCTTTTTCTTCCTTCTTCGTATTCTTTTGCAACTTCCGATATAATAAGTAATATCACAGCAAGATCAATGTCAACCATTTTACACACGTTTCATCTACGAGAGTCGACTGGCAAGTGATTCAATAGCACTGCTGTTGATGCCCGTTACTACACGTAAAAGAATTTGAGCGGCTTCGCTTTACTTGTAAAGAATTGGCGCTTCGATGCGCTTCGACTCTGCGCTACTATAAATTGACCCTAAGGCAGCGGTCGGGGAACTTTTCTAATTATTACCCCTAAATATTTTTGTGTAAGTTGATTATTTATTTAGTTTTAATTATTACCCNGATTCAATAGCACTGCTGTTGATGCCCGTTACTACACGTAAAAGAATTTGAGCGGCTTCGCTTTACTTGTAAAGAATTGGCGCTTCGATGCGCTTCGACTCTGCGCTACTATAAATTGACCCTAAGGCAGCGGTCGGGGAACTTTTCTAATTATTACCCCTAAATATTTTTGTGTAAGTTGATTATTTATTTAGTTTTAATTATTACCCCATGGCGAAGAACAAAAAAAAACGAAATCGCTTCTTTTTAGTATCTTTCATGTTATAGCCACCATGATAATTTTAAAAAGGAAAAATAACTAAAAATTTAACGATTCTAAAGAAGTTTCACTTCTATTTTTTTTTTATTTACCAAAGTCATTTTTACCCCCCAAAATTTCATTTTACCCCATTTGGGGTAATTTACCCCGGTCCCCCGACCGCTGCCCTAAGGCGTGACGCTGTTCGTTTCACTGAAGTCGGCTGAAACCATTGTTAAAAAAGCCCACGTGCGCTCGCCGTCCGATATTCAATAAAACTCATCATTTAAAGCAATAATTTTATTGGTAAAATTGAGCGCTTACAAAACTAAAGCTACACGATAGTACACTTACTGAGAAGTAGCGGAACGGTCGAGACGTTCGACTAAATAAAAAAATTAATATCGTATTAGTGCTAATACTGAAATTGACATTCATTTAATAACCAAGTGAACCTGAGCCGCCCGCGCCTTGCAACTCCGGGTCTGCGCGTATTCTGTAGCACTTGCCGCGTTTTTTTTTTTCGATTCAATCTGCACACTCGGCATTTGACGTATTGGGTTGTTCGAAAAGTAACTTCGTTTTTTCCCGACAGAGGATTTAATTGCATTTTTTTGCACCCAACTTCACATTTATGCCGTATAATTTTTATGCGCTTTGAGAGCTCATATAGCAAGGCTTGTGTGTGAAAAATTGCAATTAATTTTACGCAGTAGTTTTTGGTTGGTGCCTTTTTAAATATGGAGAGCGACAAGCAGCATTTTCGACATATCTTACTGTTTTACTACAGAAAGGGTAAAAATGCTGTTCAAGCTAGTAAGAAATTGACCGATGCGTATGGAGAAGGTGTGTTGGCAGTACGCCAATGCCAGAACTGGTTCGCTTAAGTTTCGATCCGGCCATTTTGATGTCGAAGATGTACCACGTTCGGGAAGGCCGGTTGAAGCTGATAAAGACATTAGTTGATGCGAACTGGCGAATAACAACACGTGCGATCGGATTGAGGTTAAATTTATCAAATTCAACAGTTTATGGCCACTTGAAAGGCCTGGGATTATCCTCTAAGCTCAATGTATGGGTTCATTTTTACAAAAAAAACGAAATTACTTTCCGAACAACCTATTAGAAAATCTACTTTCATATGTATTCGCGTGTTTATTTTTTCATCTTTTATAAACACCCAGACAAAGAGCAAACAAATCTGTTCATCACACGAACGTTTGTAGGATGTGGGAATCGAAGCCACGACCCGGACTGCGTGTCAGGAGCGCTAACTACCGAACTGTGCGGGGGGCGCGGGCGCGGACGGTTTAGGGACCATCAGCCATGGCAATAAAGATGTCAATGCATCGCTACCGGATTGCCGACACTAAACATAAACACATATATGCTTTATTTTGAAAAACCAAATAATTACTGTTTTTTTTACCATTCAAATAATATCAGATCAGTTCAGTCTTATTAATAACTTAATTTAAAATAATATAATGGAATTAATAATAATAATAGTAATTGGAATGATTAATAAAATTAAATTAAAATAATCTTAAAATATTAATCGTTTTTCTTTTCACAAACATTAATCATCTCATAAGATTATAAGATACGCAGTTATATCAAAATAAGAACATTTAAAATCTCGTGTGACGTCACGCAGCCAACACTAGAAGCTCACAAGTAACCGTAGAGCACGCGGTGACAAGCGGTGCATCCCTTTCACATCAACTACAGAAAAGGAGGGAACTAGTGATTGTTTACAATAACTACAACACTTGCTTAATTGCCTTCATTAAACATTCAATATGACACAAAGAGACAGAGAGAGAGAAAGACACGTCCTCCCCTAGACAAGTAAACGAACAGTTATTACAGTTATTACACCGTGTTTAAGCTGTTTCAAGGAGTACTAAAAGTATATTCATTAATTATGGAGGGTAGGAGTAAGGAGCATCATCTTTGTATATTAAACAGTGTCCACTGAAAGGAAGCCATAGCAGCAAGTGGAGAGATGTTAAAAACAACACCATAACCTACGACACTTCACTCTGTTCAAAAACTGCTATATTCATATCATTTCCACTTCCTACACTAGTGCTATTTCATTGAGTCTTCCAACAATAACTTGTTTACAAGTGAACACTTTTTCAACTTCTCCCCTATACAAGATGGTGCTCTTTACTTCTGCCCTCTATATCATTAATAAAAACTAAATGTAAATGGATTCCCCTCACCAGGGGGATCAGACAAACAGATCTATGGGTTGTCGAAAAAAGCACCCTGTATAATGTAATTCTCCTGTTTTAAGAACTTGTGAGAAATTGTAATAATTAGCTTAATTATCTATTGTATTTTAATCATATTACTTTTAAGGCACTTTCATAAGGAAATAATTTACATTAAATTCAATATTTCAAACACACAAGTCTTTTGATTGTGAATTAGCATTTTCAGTAATTATGTTTAACTAATTAATTTAATTATTAAAATTACTATTACATTCAATAATTACAATCAAATTTAAGAATTTAAAATGAGATGTTGTTAAATTGTGAAACGTTATAAACATTAGCTAATTTAAAAAGATTAAAGCTTTAATTTAAATATCCATAAAAAAAACATGACCCGAATTGAGAACTTCTTATTTTTGATGTTTTAATTGAAGTAGTAATATAAAAATCACAGTTACACTAATCAGACCATCAGTAATTAATCTATTGTAGAAATAATCTATAACAGATACAGTGAGTGGACAAATCAAATATTATTATTTCATTTTTGAAACTACCATCTTTGTACAACAATAAGTAATTTAAAATTTATTTAATATTTAGTTGATAGACTAATATGAGTACAAACGTTATGTTCATAACATTATTTTTTTAACTATGAAACTAAATGACAAAATACTGATTTTCAATTTCAATATGTTGAAGCTGCAATCTGTACAATGAAAATGCAACGTTGCTACAAAACAATGAAACTAGATGGTGTAAAATATTAATATTTTTAGGAATAGTTTTTTTTTTCTTTCTTAACTTACTTCTTTAGATGAGGATGCTGTATGTAAGCCAAACGTGTATACTCACTCTATCATTCGGGAATAACTTAATGGTTTGTGAACAGGTCACCCAAGATGGTCCTGAGTCCGCCCTATTAATTTGTCTTTAAAGAGTACATAATACTATCCTTGAAGGTAGCTGCAACTGTGTAATTCTTTGACAGGAGAAAATTTGTTGTTTGATTGCGTATTTCAGGGTCTGATTGTATCACTTCCAGTACCTGGAATAAAAGCGGTAAGACGGTCACTCTGAGACTCTCAGCTAAAGCTCGGAATCTATGTATTTGAAGAAAATAGTTCACAGATTTAAATGTTGAATATCTAAATTAGGTTCTAATTTTTATTTTTATGAATATAATTCAAAATCTGTTGATAGTGTCATGTCTTGGACATCACTAAATATTGTGGATTTAGTACAATGAGTGAGAACAAATAACTCAATCAAATTAGTTAACCAAGTGAATGATTGATAGACTTTGTATTTTTATACATAAAAATTATGATTATTTTTTTATTGCTTATATGGGTGGACGAGCTCACAGCCCACCTGGTGTTAAGTGGTTACTGGAGCCCATAGACATCTACAATGTAAATGCGCCACCCACCTTGAGATGTAAGTTCCAATATCTCAGTATAGTTACAACAGCTGCCCCACCCTTCAAGCCGAAACGCATAACTGCTTCACGGCAGAAATAGGCGGGGCGGTGGTACCTACCCGTGCGAACTCATAAGAGGTCCTACCACCAGTAAAAATAAATCCCCTAGGGTTGTGACATCTCTTCCCGAGGGTGTCATAAAAGACCTTTGCTGGAGAATAAGCAGCAATGTCCAGCAGGTGGTAAAAAGTATATTATGCTGTTTAACAAGTATACGTTCCAGTTTAGAATTTAACAACATAAGTCGACTGAACCATAGCTCTGGTGGGATTGGTGGGAGGGTACCTGTAGCTGCAGGCTGCGGAAGGGCAGCACGCGCAGGGCGGGCGGCGCGTCCAGCACCACGTAGCGGCACGCGCTCAGCTCGGCGGCGGCCAGCACCGTGTACAGCGGCAGGCACAGCACGCGGGTCCAGAACCCTTCCTCCTCGTAACTTATCTGATACATCACAAATATCATCATTAGGTTTCACTCTTGCTCCCTTATTGCTGTACGCAAAGGGTAGATCGCAGGAGAGGTAATATACATTATTATATTTTAATTATTAAGATGACATTTTCGAAGTTCCTTATGCGGAGGGGTACCCTATCCGGGAAAAAACGTCCGTAACGTAAGATTTTTATTAGTAATGCACACAGTGTACGACTTAGCTTTGTAATAACATACAAAATAGTAATTCACACAGTGTACGACTTAACTTTGTAATAATGTACAAAAAATTACATTTTTTTATCATTCATTGACCACGATCTCAGAGCGTTCGTTTGCGCAATACACTAACTCTTATGCAAACAGCAGTGAATGAAGTGTACAACAATAAGTTTGCACGTTACCGAATGATCGTGAGTTGTTGCGAAACCTCCAGTTTTATTTTCTTTATACCTCGAATAGAACTTAAAATTAATATTTTTATAATAAGGAACTTCGTTCCTATCCGGTATATTTTTATTTTTATTTCTTTTGGTTTGGCTTGGTGCTATCATATTAGTCATCAAACATGAATCAAGAAACAGATGTCTTTAAGCTCTCACTTCCAATGCTTATAAAATGTATATACATGATGATGATATGTCCTGTATAACAACAATCAACCACCACCAATCGTAGACCCTAGTGCAACATACCTCCCTGGGGTGTTGGTTCGGGCTCAGACAGGCGTGCAGAGTCCTCGCAGCTCGGAGTGCGAAATAGTCCTGAGGTGCCGCCCTGGCCACCAGTCCTGACCAGCCCCGTGCTGATTCCAGATAGCTGGTGCTTTGCCATCGTCCACCAGAAGCCATCCACTCCACAAATGTGCCATTGTACTAGACATACGTTTATTGCAGCAGTAATAAAAAAAATTGTGTACAGGCATGTTTGTATATCAACATATTGATAATTTTATTACTTCCTCCTAATGCCCCCTGGTGGTTTTTAGTACTCACGCTGCTGCAACAGCTTTGTACCAGGTAAGCCATAATAGTGCAATGCAGGAAATAAAAGTTTAAATAGCTGATATTGAATGTAAATAAAGTAATGAAAAATTAACATCTGTATTTTACCAACCCAAAAACTTTATCGAAGTTGGGAATCTCTAACAATGAGTAAAATACTAAACTATTCTTTGTCCTTTATATTACTGCTTTTATAGAACTAAAAGGTACTGTTTTCTCATTTTGTGAAAAATCAGATAGGCAAAAGTGAACTCACCAATTCCTCTCCAAAAATGGAATCCAAAACCTTCACCTGCTCTGTAGGTGTGGTAACAACATCTTGAGGTTTGGAACGAGCAGTCAAATGTAGTTGTCTGACATAGGCGATCAATGCTGCCGAGCCCTGACCTATACGAGCCAGCTCATAGTCACGGGTCATGTTTAAGCGGAACTGTTGCGCTCCTAATGCTAAAGGTAATAAATTTATTATTTATAAGTTTTCATAAAAGTTTTCATTTCAGTAAAAAATATTATTAAAAAAGAAACAGATTGAACTACTGCTGATGACAGTCAACAACAGGGTTTGCAGTAACAAACACACAAACCAGGCCGGACTATAATATTTGGTGTAAATAAATATTCTAGAAGTAAATGAAAAATGTTTAAGGCAAGTTAGGATTTTTGTAAAAATAAGTATATTATTATTATTAAATTTACCAAAGTTGAAAACTTATGTAAACATAGATTACATAATTTAAATATAACTCCAAAACTGTAAAATTAGTAAAGATTACTAAGCTATAAAGTTAGATAGAGCAACATAAAAGGCTGTAGTTAGTTCCACTAACAAGAACTCTTGAACATCATAAGTTTTTTTTTTTATGTTGGGACAGTTTTAAGACATGTACATATTCTGTTACTGTGATCAAAAAACGTATTTAACAGATTGATGCGGTCACCAAGCAATGTACAATCATCATATGCAATGGTAAGCGATCACTCGGTTGAGAAGCAAATATCATTCATTTTATGACTTACCAACTGTGTCCATGTAAATTAAGAGCATCGTCATGACAGTCACAAATGTCAAAACGAAGAGCATTGCTGGTAGCAATCGTCGGTACAACTCATTAGGTGGAGCTTTCATGAATGCCGGCAATGTGAATCGAGGACTATGTGTTTTTGTTTCGGCAAAAATTATTACAAGCTTGTCTATTAGGTTGGGTTTAGGTTCTGGGGGTTTGTCCATAGCTTGGCCAGGTTCTTCTACAGGTGGAGGTGGGTTATCTTGATCTGTCTAAAATATTAATTAAATACAGTTATAGTTTATTAATTAATTTTTGTTAACGATATAACTATGATTCAAGTTTTTTGTTCACTAAATAATTTTAAGATAAGGGATTAAAAAGGTTACATCTAGTTCACAAGAAAGTTAAGCAAGGATATAAAATGATACTTCTTGCACTTTATTTAGATAACCGATAAATAACAAATATAAATTAGAGTGTACACCCGCTACACTGTAATACGAACATTCACGATAAATTTGAATAATGAAATATTTTTTTTATAAATTTATCAATTTTAACTTAGCACACTGGAAATTTGGCGTCCCGGGTTGTCAAAAAAGTTTTTTTGACACTGTTTGACAGGGACAGGTGTTTTTTTTATTCAATTCGATATGATTTTTTACAGCCAACATTTGGCCATTAATTGCTGTATTTGCCGTTGTAAAATATTAAAAGTATTTAGTCTAAATACAACTGATGTACCCCGCCCAAGATTATAGTGTAATATCATACCTTTTCGGCCATTATCACTTTGTTTTCGATACCTTGCATTAAAAAAAACACAAAAAAGGGACATAAACCACTTATGTTTTTCTTGTACTACCTAACTGAATTTATGAGTATATTAGTAATTTTTGTGACTGACTATAAACAACAATTCCTAATTAACTTGTACTGTTACTCAGAAGAAGAGTTTTCTTCGACGACAGCCGAAAGTTATGAAAAACTACTTCTAAACTAAACGTCATGAAACATGAACAATTCTATTAGTCATTGACAAATAAAATTGTGGAATGTGAACCAAAGAGCAAAAATAAAAAAAGGCATTAAGCAGCCATAGACCTATATAGTAGGGACACGACATATTGTTCTATACGTACAATTGCTTATATAAATAGCACCCATTTTGAAGGCACACACATAAACATATATCTATCTCGTTCTTACTCAGCACTTTAACTCGCAGGAAAACAATATAACAGTATTTCAGTGCGTACATAAAATGAAACATGAATATACGTAAATGTCTCCGTCTCCGTCTAATGAGGCCAAAAATCCGCCATGCTTAGCGCACCAAATGTCATTGTCACGTCAGTTCGGCCGTCTGTTTTGGGTTGTACATTATTTATTGACTTTGATATCGATTTAATATGATTCCTTATATAAAATTTCTTATTTTATCATGCTTAAAACAGACAAAAATAATAATTAAAACATATTTTATAGGATCTCAAGAAAGTCGATGCCCCAAAACTATTATCTATATATATTTAAATTCATTATGGAGCCCTCATCCGAAAAATCGGACACCATTTTTCGGTCGGAATCTATTGATCATGACACTAATCATAAATAGCTCTTTAAAATATGTCATCAAAACATATTTAGACATTCTGTTTAGATATTTCGGGAAAAAGGCTACCGACAAAATCTCTTCGGAACTATTTAAATAAAATAGTTTTATTCCGCAGTGAGTAAAACACTATTGTAAATTCGTTATATATTTAATAATTAAGTGATTTTAGAGAGGAAGTCACAAGGAATGACGTTTGTAATTTTATTAACGAATAAATGTTCTGTAGGTGTTTTTTTTTTATCAGGCGGTCCCTTGATAAGTTTAAAATTTGAATCACTCTCATTTGAATCACTCTCAAGTGAAAGGGATTCAAATGGTACGGCACACCTTCCTTGAGGTGCGCTGCGGTTGTGTGTTACGGACTTTAGAGTCAGCAAAACAATTAAAATAGATTGTAATAGTCTAAGAAAAACACGTACTCAAAATACGATAACATTCAGCATGCTAGAAATGGGCAGATGGCACTGTACTACGCCATATCTTTATATTTTGCGGCAAACGACAACTTTATAAAATCAGTGTAGCAAATTTTAAAAATCGGCATATCGTTTAGGTTCTTGGCAAAGAAGCACGAACTCGTCTTAGATTTAACATAATATTTAAATCACATCATCTTTGCACATAACAATATACTTACTTCCTATTAAAGTATAAATTCTACAAATACATTTATACTCAACAATATTTAAAATAAAACGAGCTAAGAACGTTTATCGATAAAACCTGCTAACATTAAAATCTTCTGGGCAGCACTAAAACCGCCATGTTTTGTGGCCAGATGACGTCACAGTGGCACGAATTTTTTGTTGACGTTTCATTTCCATAGGTTTCCTACTTCAGTGTAAGCAGCTAAATTCATTGCTAGAGCAAAATTGAAATTTCTTCCAATTTGATAATTGTAGAATTGAAATGGAGTTATTTCAATTCTACCCAGTCAGTTTATTAATTTTAATCAAGTCCCACTTACAGTTTTTATGTTCGATGTTAAAATTTCCAGGTTGATAGATTTTGAAATACGACGAAAACCAAATCTACCATATAGTATTGCAAAGCTTTAGCCTGTCTGGTCATTTCTGCTGAAGGAATATTATTTTTATTCCCCCTATCTATTCTCTGGTAGCCTATAAGAAGCTATTCCAGTGACGTCCAGATGGGTAGGTGAACTCACGGGCTCAATCTGAGAGAATTTGCTAACACTAGCCTTAGCAAGACCTGCTTCGCAGAATCTACCACCGGATCGGAATCGTGACCCACTGAGAAGATTCGGCGAGAAATTCAGTGGGTTGTGTCTATGAGTTAGTTCGTCGTCAAACTCTTGGTCGTTATCAACGAGTTCGACGTGGACGGTGACCGGTGCTTGAGAGGCCTAAAAGCACCGAGAGTGAATCCGGCTGTTCTGACAAGACATGTTTCGGCCGACAACGGCTTTGCCTTGCCCTGTTGCGGTTTTCGTGTCGCGCAGCTTTATCGAAGTAGCGCTCTGACGTTTCCTTAAGATTATACTTTTAACGGTACTACATTTATGTCATCGTGAAGATCTACATCCCTCATATACCACGCCTTACCATGGCTTACTCCGACAGCTATCCTGCAGAAACCAGATTGGATGACCCGGAGAGAGTTGATGTATGATGTTGAGAGAGGGCATGACGAAACGTATGCAAGTTTTGTAGGGTGTCACCTTATTATGACGGGACAATTTACTTCACTTGCAGTATTCCGTTTGAATGGTATCCGATTTTACAATTCCATTCAAATATTGTGTTTATGAGTTTCGGTTAGCGCTTGGCGCCATGTGTATTAAGCCATTGTAGTCCTTCAACTATTTACTTTTTTTTTTGGCGTAGATAGTGGGTTTTGCCATAATGAATATTAATAGTACTGGGTAAGTAAAGTAGAAATAAACTACACATCCAACAAATGAGATAAGACTTTAAAACTCGTAAGTAGTTTTATTAAATGAATAGTATGTAAATGACTTGTGCAAAATGTCATAAAAAAAATCCTGATTGACAGAAGAGCAGGATAGAGTCTACCTATATCCTGATTGACAGAAGAGCAGGATAGAGTCTACCTATATCCTGATTAACAGAAGAGCAGGATAGAGTCTACCTGATGGACGGTGGTCGCCATCGCTCATCACGTCAGCAATATCAAGGACACAGTCAAGCCACTTCCTACTGCTGAGAACTCCTCCAAACCTCGTTAGAAGAAGCACACATCGTAGTGCTCAGGTAGACTCTAGAAATATCTCTAGAATTTCAATATGAACCAATGTAGTAATTTTAGGTAAGGTAAGAAGAGCACTCCGCCTCAAATTTACGGTACAAAATACAGAGAAAACCGTTGTCCTCCCGTAGAACAGTGTGCTTAGCGCGAGTTTTTTAACGTTCTCGATAGCGTAAAAGTTAACTCAAATTTGTATGGAGTTGGAACGTTTGCCTACGTTTGTCGCTATAGGCGCTCGTTCTATTTAAACTAACTTAGAAGCGGTAAATCTTTGTTTAGGGATAAAGTACCGGTTTGCTCTTGAGGGGACTCCCAAAATGTTTGATGTCAACTACGGTTCCTTAGTTAGTTACTTTGTTGCTAATGGCTCCAGAGAACAGAAGAATTACTCCAATTATGTTGACGCTTACCTATAGACAGTTGCAAGTTTTTGACAGAAATATGTTTATGATAATTTCAGAAGAAAATTAATTATATTACGATATATCAAGGTTCCAATTAAGAATAATCAGACTACAAAATTAATTTAAGAAAATGTCTTTATTGTCCAAGTTTTATCTTAATTACATAAAACGATAAATAAACAGTTATTTCAATGAAAATTGTATTCTTTAAAATTGAAGATTCATTATTTACAAGAAAGCCATTTGTATTTTGTAGCTAGCTGTAGATTCTCCATTCTAACTTTTTATAATAGTAATAAATCGATTCGATCGAATAAATTTCTGTCGTAGTATATTAATTTTATGAGATGCACTTTATATAGCCAATAGATCAAACCTTGTTGTTCGCTAATTAATACAAAGCTAGAGCAATTTTAAACACGACATGCATTGTTCGAGCTTAATACTACGAGCTTTAACTAATAAGTGACAAGTATTTATTTAGTCATATTTTACGTAACGTCACGTGACGCTACATAAAATCCATTGAAGGAAATAACTCCGTGATTTTTTTTATCACATAACGAATATTCAAGAGTTCCATGCGTCGAGTGGTGTAGCCATTTTGTGACTGGTCTACGCAGTGGCCCACAGTGCGGGCCTTGGTGGTAGCGACGGATGCATTTGCACCAAAGAGTAGAGACAAGGTAAAGGCGTCTAGTGCGAAAGGCTTATGTGAGCTGGTTTGTCTAATTTTAAACGCACTGACCACGCGTTTCGAGCGTGGTACGATTATGGCAAAAACCCAGTCGGTGTTGGTATCAGTTCATTCTTGTTAATTATCACCCGACCGTCAAGCATTTTATTATTTATTAACCGTAAATCGTGACATCAGTTTTACAATCACTTTGCGAACATTTTTATTTTTATTTCGTGCAAATGATAATTCCTCTAATGGTAAAGAAAATGTTTCCTTTAATGGTAAAGAAAATATTATTATCATCTTGGTTTGCGAACTATAAACTACATACATGTAAACTATTTAAGACACAGCGGCACACTGCGATGTCATTGTGGTCAAAAGCTTACTCGCGCGCCCCGTAGATTTCTTTCGCCACCGCTTATTTAAGTAACCGCCTGTATATAAATGTCATAACTATGGTTACAGCGCACGTATATACTTGTGCCTCGGGCTATTTTTATGTTCTTTATTATTTGAAATTACCGTAATTTACATGTTATATTCAGTCAAATAAGATCAGATGACGATAACTTTGTGCTAATTTACCTTAATCTAATATTTAATTAAATTTAAATGTGAAATAAATCGCCCCAGGCAATTATTAACTTGCAGTCATACAAAATGGTTTTTGTTTTTACTATGAAAATTTATTATTTAATACAACTTAATTGATATATTTTTGTACATGTGACAGTAAAAGGCATAATTCTGTTAAACATATCTATTTTTTCTGCTGTTTTTATGTTACCAAGAATTCTGAAAAATTCCGAAAAATGAAAACTAGTGGTAGCAGTGATGCTTGATAAAAATTAAAACTCTAATCCATCCTACTTATGTACGT